AATTAAAATTTTGAAAAACTTACTTTTTTTTGACTATTGGTTGTTTTCGAAGTATGTTTAACTCTAATTGTAAAACAATTTAAGCACTTAAGTTTTAACTATAACTTAACAGTTGACAAACAAAAGAAATATACTGAAATTACTCGAAAATCAGTGTATTTATTCTCACGTCATGACAATAAACTTATAAGTCATAGAAGAGGGAGGAGGCGCTGATCTCGAAAATTATCGAGAGAAATGGTAATTTAAGTAATGTTAAAATGAGGCGCTAAAATATGTTATCAAATATAAAATGAGGCGCTAAAATACGTTTTATCAAATAGCTTCATTGATAAGCATTACATACACTCTCCTCTAACTATAATGTGATAACAGGTAAATGAGGCGCCAACGAGAGGCGCTAAAATGAGGCGCTAAATGAGGCGCCAACGAGAGGCGCTAGAATATGTTATTAAATATAAAATGAGGCGCTAAAATACGTTTTATCAAATAGCTTCATTGATAAGCATTACATACACTCTCCTCTAACTATAATGTGATAACAGGTAAATGAGGCGCCAACGAGAGGCGCTAAAATGAGGCGCCAACGAGAGGCGCTAAAATAGGCGCTAAAATGAGTATATGGGGAGAGGCGGCCCCATATACACACATCATATATATTATGTATTTAATACATATAAATTGGTGTACTTTAAAACCTTTAAACAAACAATAAAAATAAATTCTTAATATTTACCCACTGCCGTTTGGAGGTGATGAACGCTGTGAAACTTCGGATGCAGAGAAGGCAACAAAAAAACACCGTAACATTTAACAAACCGATTAGCAACTTAAATTTAACAATGTGGTGATAAGGTAATACTCGACCCAAACATTTGGCATCTATATGACCGAAACGACCGAATAACTGGGCGCGAATGAATTAGTTTTCAATGCTATAAGTTTATTACGTCTATTAGATTGGGGAAAACGTAATAGATAAGAGATAAATAAATGAGACATCGGTATTTAAAAACCAGTTTGGATTTATGCCTGGTAATTCGAAAAATGAAATCATTATTTTGTGTGAGACAACTAATAGATAGATATAGGGAAAAGAATAAAAATTTGTGAATGGTATTTATAGATTTAGAGCAAGTGTATGCTAGAGTACCAAGAGAGAGATTTTAAAGTGAGCATTAATGACAAAAGGAGTCCCAAAAAGGTGCATTAATATAATATAAGATATCTATGATGGGACTTATACCAGGATAAAAAGCATGGACAGAGTAACAGAAGAGGTGTTGGCATAAGGTGGTTGAAAGAACTTTTAAATAAAATCTTATTAAAATGGAAAATACCAAATGAATTGAGGAATAGTATTGTGGTGCCGATGTTTAAAGATAAAGGAGACATATAGGACTGTGGAAATTATAGAGGCATAAAGCTTATGAATCATAGTATGAAAATTTGGGAAAGGGTAATAGATAAGAGAATAAGAAATGAGACATTGGTATCTAAAAGCCCGTTTGGATTTATGCCTGATAAGTCAACAATGGAGCCAGTATTTTGTGTGAGATAACTAATAGAAAAGTTTAGGGAAAAGAAGAAAAAGCTCTGTATGATATTTATAGATTTGGCGATAAAGTACCGAAAGAGGTTTTAAAGTGGGCATTAATGAAAAAAAGAGGTCCCGAAGAGGTAAATTAATATAATAGAAGATATGTATGACTGCAATTGTACCAGGGTAAAAAGCATAGGAAGAGTAACAAAAAATTTTAGAGTAAGAGTAGGAGTGAAGCCCTTACTTGTTTTCTTAAGTGATAGTTAGTTATATTGTATGATTCAGAGTGTGGGCGGTTGACAAGATAATAGAGCAAATAATGAATGGAATAAATAGAGAAGATAGGATAGAATCGAACATATAAGATGGCGTACAGGTATAGAGTAAATCGTGGGTAAAATGAGAAAAAATTAATTTAGATGGTTTGGTTATGTTATGAGGAGAGAGGAATCGGAAGCTGTGAGAACATTTATAGAAATTAATATTGAAGGAAGAAGTGGTAGAGGAATACCAAAAAAGACATTGAAGGATATTATTAAATGCAATATGATGAGAGACAACTAATGTGAGCGTATATGATATGGGACATCGTATCAAGAGGTAGTTTAGGATAAGGTTAGTCGTTCCTAAGTAGTTGGGATTAAAGCGAGGAATAAGAAGAAGACAATTAGTCGAAAAATGAGCATCACTCAAGTTAATTTAATAGTAAAAAAACCCAGTATACCTACAAGGGGTCGCGGCACAATGGTGACGTACCATAGTTGTATCAAGTTTAATGATATCGCACAGTGATTAAAATCACTATAATAAAAAATGCCTCGATGCAAATCAATAGATAGTGTTTAATTCTAAGAAATTGGTGGACTATTCAAAAAGCTACACGATCTCCTATTTCCTTATCTATATCCTAATTAAGATAAAGTATATCGAATGAAAATATCTTTCATAAGTAGTATTTATATATATATATATATATATTATATATAAATACTACTTCTCATGAAAAATTGTGTTGATCCATACACATTTCAATAAGTTATAACAGTTTAAAGTTAAAAATGTAAAATATAAAATCGAGAATTTTAATACAAAAATAGCATACAGAAGCCAATTTCACCGTGAAGACAAAATGTAGTCCGAAATTTTATTTTTTCCACAATAAAGTATATTACATAAGCTTTAGATTAAGGTATATATAAAAGTGCCAGTATTTACGGAATACTTTCAAAAGTAAAGTTATAAAAGTTATTTTTTTGTAAAATAGTTATCATTTTTAATCATCCTCTGTAGGCAGGTAAAAGGTCAGATTTATAGAAAAAATATACAAAATGATAGTCAAAGACATCATGTATCTATTAAAAAAAAAGTTATATTGATTTGTTCGTTTTTGAAAAAGTTATAGCATTAAGTTAAAAATAAAAAAAAAAATTATTTTACAAAAATCGTAATTTTTTATTAACTTTGATGTCTATTTTCACCATGAAGATAAGTCCAGAGGTCAATTTTTTTTTCTAATTAAAGTATATTATATTAGTTTTAATTTAATATATATATAAAAGTGTCAGTCTTTCCGGAACATTTTCAAAAGTTAAGTTGAAAAAGTTCATTTTTTGTAAAAAAGTTGTCATTTTAAATCCTCCCCCGTGGGCAGGTTAAGTGTCAGATTTACAAAAAATATATACCAAATGATAGGTAAAGACATCAAGCATCTATATAAAAAAAATTATATTGATATGTTCATTTTTGAAAAAGTTACGGCAGTTTTTAGTAAAAAAAATTGAAAAAATTTCGAAAATTAGCGATTTTTAAATTTGTAATTTTTTTGGAGGTTTCCCCCAATTACAGGGAACAAGGGAAATTTTTTCAATTTTTAAGGGTAATGTCTTCGACTAATTACGATTTTTTATCTTTTGACGTATCGTTGAAAGAAATCCGTTTGGTGAGAGCTGAGAAAAAGTAGTAACAGACACAAATAAAAAAAACACATCATAGTAAAACCAATACGTTCTCAGCTTCGAATCGAACCTATAAAATCATAATTTTTGTTTTACATTGGGATAGAATTAAATTTTTCAATAACCCTAAAAAAAAAAATTGTAATTGATATGTCTATGTTTTAATTACATATTGATTAATTAGATATCAATTAATTAATAATTTTGGTCATCTAGCAATTCAATATGAAAATTCGAATGAAGAACAGACATGCCAATTGAAAAAAGATATAACGACAAAAGTTTTAGAAAATGAAAATTTGGAATTGTTAAAATATGCTTTTGAAAATGGATGTAAACGGGATGTTAATACAGCAACAAATGCGGCTGCTAATGGATATTTAGAATGTTTAAAATATGCACATGAAAATGAATGTCCTTGGGATGAAAGCACAACAGAAGCAGCTGCTTCTAGTGGTAATTTAGAATGCTTGAAATATGCTTTTGAAAATGGCTGCAAATGGGATGAACGTACAACTACTGCAGCTGCCAAAAAAGGTCATATTAGTATTTTAAAATATGCACATGAAAATGAATGTCCTTGGAATGAAAGCACAACAGAAGCAGCTGCTTCTAGTGGTAACTTAGAATGCTTGAAATATGCTTTTGAAAATGGCTGCAAATGGGATGAACGTACAACTACTGCAGCTGCTGAAGAAGGTGATTTAAATATTTTAAAATATGCACATGAAAATGAATGTCCTTGGGATGAAAGCACAACAGAAGCAGCTGCTTCTAGTGGTAATTTAGAATGCTTGAAATATGCTTTTGAAAATGGCTGCAAGTGGGATGGACGTACAACTACTGCAGCTGCTGAAGAAGGTGATTTAAATATTTTAAAATATGCACATGAAAATGAATGTCCTTGGGATGAAATCACAACAGAAGCAGCTGCTTCTAGTGGTAATTTAGAATGCTTGAAATATGCTTTTGAAAATGGCTGCAAGTGGGATGGACGTACAACTACTGCAGCTGCTGAAGAAGGTGATTTAAGTATTTTAAAATATGCACATGAAAATGAATGTCCTTGGGATGAAATCACAACAGAAGCAGCTGCTTCTAGTGGTAATTTAGAATGCTTGAAATATGCTTTTGAAAATGGCTGCAAGTGGGATGGACGTACAACTACTGCAGCTGCTGAAGAAGGTAATTTAAGTATTTTAAAATATGCACATGAAAATGAATGTCCTTGGGATGAAATCACAACAGAAGCAGCTGCTTCTAGTGGTAATTTAGAATGCTTGAAATATGCTTTTGAAAATGGCTGCAAGTGGGATGAACGTACAACTACTGCAGCTGCTGAAGAAGGTGATTTAAATATTTTAAAATATGCACATGAAAATGAATGTCCTTGGGATGAAATCACAACAGAAGCAGCTGCTTCTAGTGGTAATTTAGAATGCTTGAAATATGCTTTTGAAAATGGCTGCAAGTGGGATGTAAGTATTATTGCGAATAATGCTATAATTAGTGGTAATCTACAAATATTAAAATATGCACACCAAAATGGATATGAATTCAATGAACATACAACTAATTTTGTTGCCAGTATTGGTTATTTAGACATTATAGAATATGTCCTTGAAAACGGATATGCATGTAATATAACTACAACTTATAAGGCTGCAAGAAGTGGTAATCTTCAAAGCTTAAAATATTTACATGAAAATAGATGTCCATGGGATGAAAGTATAACAAAAATCGCTGCTTATTTAGGACATTTTAAATGCTTAGAATATGCTCATGAAAATGGATGTCCATGGGATGAAAGTACAACTACTGCGGCAGCTAAGAGAGGTTACTTAAAAATTTTAAAATATGCTCATGAAAATAAATGTCCGTGGGATGAAAGCACAATATACGAAGCAGCCCTTTATGGTAGATTTGAATGCTTACAATATGCTTATGAAAATGGCTGTAAATGGCATGAAAGTACTACTGCTGTAGTTGCTAAAAGAGGGGATTTAAAAATGTTAAAATATGCACATGAAAATGAATGTCCATGGGATGGTAGCACAACAAAAATAGCTGCAATTTATGGTAATTTTAAATGCTTAGAATATGCACATAAAAATGGCTGTCCATGGGATGAATATACAACATATGTGGCTGCCATAAAAGGCCATTTAAATATTTTAATATATGCTTATGAAAATAAATTTTCATGGGATGAAAGCATAACAGAAGCTGCTGCTTCAAGTGGTAATTTAGAATGTTTACAATATATATTTGAACATGGCTGTAAATGGGATGAACGTACAACTACTATAGCTGCTATGACTGGAGATTTAGATATTTTAAAGTATGCACATGAAAATGAATGTCCGTGGGATGAAAGCACAACAGAAGCAGCTGCTTCTAGTGGTAATTTAGAATGCTTGAAATATGCTTTTGAAAATGGCTGTAAATGGAATCAAAATATCATGAGAAGTGCAATTGTGAAGGGCAATCTAGACATAATAAAATATGTTTACGAAAATGGATGTATGTTGTATGAAGGAGCTCTGCGTGAAGCTGCTGCAAAAGGTAATTTGGAATTTTTGAAATATGCACATAAAAATGGTTGCAAATGGGATGAAGGCACAACTCGAGCTGCCGCTAACCGTGGTTGTTTTGAATGTTTAAAGTATGCCCACGAAAATGGATGTACTTGGGATGACGGGACAACTAATGCCGCTGCAGCGAGTGGCTGTTTAGACTGTTTGAAATATGCTCACGATAAGAAATGTAATTGGGATAAAGATACAATAGCTGTAGCATCTTTGCATGGTAATTTAGATTGCCTAATATATGCCCGTGAACATGGATGTCATTGGGTGGAAGGTACTATGAGAGGGGCGGCAGCAAATGGACATTTAGATTGTCTAAAATATGCTCATGAAAATGGGTGTCTGTGGGACGAAGGCACAACAAGGGAAGCAGCTGCTAGTAATTTTATTAACTGTTTCGTATTTGCACATAAAAATGGTTGTAAATGGGATGAAGGAACTAAGAGTGGAGCTGCTGCAAATGGCAATTTAGACTGCCTTAAATATGCTCATGAAAATGGATGTGAGTGGGATAAAAGCACAACAAGACTTGCTGCTACAAATGGAGAATTTCGTTGTCTAATTTATGCTCATGAAAATAATTGTCCTTGGAGTAGCGGAACAATTTCTGAAGCTACTCTAAATGGTTATACTAATATTATTAACTATGCAACTAACAATGGCTGTCTTAATTAATATTCTGTTGAAATATCGTAATTTTTATTGTTTTAAATCATGTCTATTATATTATTAATAAATGAAATTAATAGGAATCAATTTATTCAATATTAACATTTTACCAGAATGAAATTATAAAATAAAACTCAATATTACAGTTTTTTAAATTATTATTTAAGTTGTGTATGACAATTAATCACTTTTTATATTGGGTTTGTTGTTACATATACATATATATCGATATGGGTTTATAATGGTAATATGGTAATATGACAAGGTCGCATTGCACTTCCGGCTTTACTGCTGAATGGCAACTGCAACACAGCTGCCTCTCCTTGTCTGACAGGTCACGCGACGCTGAGTGACTTTGGGAGACGTGAACCGGTCCGGCGATGCATACATTTTTCTTCGCAACATAATTAACACTTACAACTTCCTTCCGGAAATAAAATAATAAAAAGGTATCTGACTACTGATTCAGTGGTCAGTGTTCAATCAGTGAATGTTACATTATAATCGTTATAACTTTGACTCTTCCTGACAACACTTATCAGAATTTAATATGGTTAAATTATTTTAACTCAATTACTAAAAGTTATTTTATAATAACACTTCATCTAATAAAATCAAAACATTTTGATGTTGATTTAACACTCGTCGAGTTAGCATCTCAATTAATAACAGTGTTTAAATCAAAACAGTTCTAATATTATAGATTGGCATATAGTATTTTATATTACAATAACAATTCTAATATTCACGTTTATATTTAATTTTTTGAGGGCTAATATTTACTTGTGTTCATATCAAATAGTATGTATTTACAGTGACTAACGAGAAGTGTCAATATAAATGAAAATAACTATAAACTTGAAATTTTCGCTTCAACGTCCCTATTAATTGTTAAAACAATACCGAGATTTCTATATGTGTATAATAATTAGTGACATTATCTAAATAATTAATTTTTTAACACTTTACTAGATTAAATTTTAAAAAATGTACTAATACATGATTTTTTTATTTAAAAATATCTTATGGTATGTGAGCGAAACAGATAATAAATATTTCTCATGGAGAAAATGGTGCGGCTTGTCATAGAAATAAAACGTATATCCTTGGTCAAAAATCAAGAAATATCAACGAAATTTTCAGAGCACCATAGGATTTTTTTAGGTACGACTGGTAAAATTTTAAGTTTTAAATTGAAAAACGCTGGCGAAAATAAGCGTTTTTGATAAAATTATGAAACGCCTCACTGTGTAAAAAAATATTTTCTCATCTTTGAAATTAAATTTCCTAGAATAACGTTGTGGAGCTATTTCATTAAAAAAAAAAATTTGAATTAGTTAATACAATATTTGATATGAGATAAACAATTATTTAAATTGTCTTGTTATGCTAACTTATTGATAACACTCCGTGTTTGATCATTAATTACACATTTGGCATAATTTTCATGCTCGTACAAAAATTGTATAATTTTTCATTAAAGTGGCCATCCATTATCTTGATGATTTATTGAACTTTTTTTCTATGAATATATGTATTTAAAAATTACAATTTTAATTAATTATACATATATTTCAAAACTAATGTTATTCTATATAATATTTTTAAGAAAAATTGTTTTAACTAATTTTTTTTTAAATATACCACTTGTATATAATACATTTATTTCATTCGTGTGTACTTCATTTTTCTATTCTATAACACAATAATACTATCGAATCAATGTATCAAAACAAAAAATATATTTAAGTTGCAACATAAATAAAAAAAATTATTTTTATAGTTTGTATAAACTAATATAGAAGAGGTATTATTTTTTAATAGGTATAATTATTTAACTATCTTATAAACATACATAAGAATTTTTTACTTTACATAATACAAAAAATTGATGTTTAATTAAATATTTAAAATTATTTTTTATTCTCTATTTTTTGATTTGTAAAACTTTTTATCATACATTTTGTCTAATTAATTTATATTTGAGAAAAATACTTATAAGTTTAATTGTTTTTTCAGTAAAATTATAACTAGAAATTCTAGTATTAAGTAAATTTTATAATTTTGGAAATATTAAAAAAATATATATATTTAATGTTGGCTAATTGCCTTAGGTGCCATGATTTTTTTTTTTATAAAAAAAAATTATACCACATAAAATATTTACATATTATTTTAATTTAATTCAATATAATGTTATTTTAAATTACTTGAATTGTTCTTTTAATAAACATTTATATAGACGTAAGTAGGGTAATATTGGGGATTCTAGGCCCCCCGCCTCACCCCTTCACCTAACCACCCACCGGGAGTGGGCGTGGTCTGGGGGGAGGGGCGTGTTACACAGTGGGCGTGGTCTCTCAAGGGTGGGGGTAATGTCAAGGTCATATAGTGGGTGTGGTTTCTCGATGGTGGGGGAAAGGGGAGGCGTGGTCTTATCAATGATAGGTTAAGGGGAGGCGTGGTCTCTCAATGGTGGGGGTAATGACCGTTGTCAAGGTCACACAGTGGACATGGTTTCTCGATGGTGGGGGTATGAGGAGGCGTTGACTTATCATAGAGGAGGTGTGTTCTTATCAATGATGGGGGTAAGGGGAGGCGTGGTCTTATCATACATGTGGGAGGGGGTGGAGTGGTCTCATCATGGTGGGGAGGTAATGACCGTGGTCAAGGTCATACAATAAACGTGGTCTTATCAATGATGGGGTAAGAGGAGGCGTGATCTTATCATAGATAGTGAAAGGAAGCGTGGTCTTATGAGGGTGGGGTTATGGGTGGCGTGGTCTTATCAATGATTTGGTAAGGGGAGACGTGGTCTTACGATAGTAGGGGTAATAGGTGACTTAGTAGGTATGTTAAGATCAATGAAAATGGCGGTTTAAAGTGCGCATGCGTACTATAACTCCGTGCCAGGGGGGGGGTAGCCATTCGGAAATGGTTGTTCTCCTCTTACGATGTCATCTACTGGAGGGTAAGGTAAACCTCATGTGAACTGATAACGTTCACTGATAAGCGTACACATTACATTGAAATAGTGTAATTCAATTGCTTAATATTAACGCCGCAGGGGTGTCTGTCAACAATTCCTACATAGGAAGGGGTAATGAATCTTGAATTAAACTAACCTATAATGGGTGGTGATGAAACAAGACTTATACTAATTTGCCGCACATCTATAGAATGTATATAATAAATAAATTATAACAATTTTACTATTGGCTACCAGACGCATAGCTAAGCATATTTCCAACGTCAAAGNCGCTACCAGACGCATAGCTAAGCACATTTCCAACGTCAAAGGTACCGCAATATTGTGACCCATATTACCGTCAACATTTTATAATTGCTGTCTGCGTTTTATCAAAGTTATCTTTATCTAAGAATTTTATCATTACTTCTTGGCTGGTGAATTCCACCACCGACACGTCGTCCCCAAACGCCGGGGGAGGCAGGGGCAGATGTGTCGGAAAGAGCGTGTCTACCGCCCTTTCCAGCACTTCCGCCTCCAGCTGACCCGAAGCCGGTGGACCGCGGAGCTTCCGCATTACGACCCGATAGGGTTTCCCCCACGGGTCGCGGTCCACCGACTTTACGAGTTCGGCCCAGCATTTTGCTTTGGCCCGCCTGATGGCGAGCTTCAGCTCCTTGCGGGCCGACCTCAGCGCCTCCCTCGAGTCCGGGGATTCCAGGTCCCGCGGCCAACGGTTGGAGCGCGTCATAGTCCTCCTGACTCTGACGCACTCCTCACGCCTGGCCGCCACCTCGGCGTTCCACCAGTGGACTGGCGGTCCGCGAGTCGACGGCGGTCGTTTGGCCGGAAGGGCGAAGTCGCAGGCTGCGACCACCCTCCGGTCCAACTCTTCCGCCGCTTCGCTCGCGGAGACGCGCCGGTCCGGTACCGCGGGCGCCGACCATTGAGCGAGCAGTAAGCCCGTCTCAAAAGCGTCGACGTCCGTGGCCGGTCCGACTCGCCAGCCTACTCGCCCATCGCGAGACGGCACGCGGGGCACGGCTCGAGGGGGACGGCCGCCATCGCCGCACTCGTACACGATGTACCGGTGGTCGCTGAGGTTTTCCCTGTACGGGAGAACCGACCAGCCGGTCACGTGCGGGTGCAGCGACGGGGACACCAGCGTGACGTCCACCACCGAGCTCGAGGAGTGACCCTCGAACGTCGGGGTGGATCCCCTGTTGGCCGA